GGCACATGAAAAAAGTTATCTTTTTTTACCAGTATTCTATAAAATTGATGGAACTACTCCAGTGAGAAAAAGCAAAGTCTAGCAGTAAATGTAAAACCTCTACCTCTTATTGAGTCATAGTATAACTTGAACAAATTTACTGCTCTTAGAAATAGTTTTGCTCCTTCTAAAATCTCAGAGAATTCATTAAGCGACTCTGGCCTCCCAAGAACTACCTAAAAATGTTTCTGCAAGTTGACACTCCTTAAACTGTATTAGAATGCCAACTAAACACTACCAGGTTGTATTGCTATACAAACAAACAAACAAAAATTCAGTCATTGCTGAGCTTTTATGAGGGAGCTCAAAGAGAAATGGATAAACCAGTTATTCAAAACATTCTTTTGTTTCAAATGCCAGGTATTATTATCCTCATGCCGTACGTGAATTCAGGGCTGAGACAATCACTGTAAGGACTCAAATTAGAAAATTCTATATTAAATCATGAAGAATAAATATTTTATTAAAATGTGTCACATGCCTACTTCACTACAATAATTGAGCCACATATTGATGGGATACATATTTTATACAGGAACAGACCTCAAGAGACTCACAATTTGGAAAAGAAAAGTAATATTCATGTATGCGTGATGATACACAAACATAAACGAGATGATACCATAACAGCAGTGCAAGCAAAGTGCTTTGGCAACAAAGAAGAAAATACTTTCTCTCAATAAAGTGATTTTTGAGTGGAGCAGAGACAGTTACCAGAAATTCCAAGGAGTATGGAATTCCAAGGTGAAGAAATCTCATTAGCAAACGTGAAAAGTCATGCAGGAGTCAGCATGTTATGTTTGGACCTGCCAATTGCAGATGTGCAAATGGACAAAGGGAAATGTCACAGTCAGAGAAATGTATACCTAAGGAGTCAGAGCTGGTTCCTACAAATAAGCCTCACTGAATACTTTTGAGAATAAATGAGATATAAACTGGCCAAACTTTACATTCTAGAAAAACAACTTTGGTAATAATATAAAAAGGCTCATAGAGTATACTAAACAGTATTCAATAAACACATTGTAGAAGGAACAAAAATCGAAGATAAAAAGTATCCTGAAATTCCAGGTAAGAAACAATCAAGATTAATGTTAAGGCAGAGTCCGGGGTTATGAAGTAAAAACAGTAGTAAGTAACAAGCAATGCCAATAAGTAACCTACATCTAACATACGTGAAGAACTTTGACAATCGGTGCTGCATTTAAGAAATAATGACTTTATGAAAACTGTGTAGAGCAGTTTTCTGTATAATAAATGGAATTCATAATCTAAATGATAGCTTTCAATCAATCATAGTAATCATGGATGAAAATGGAGGCATACAAACAGGTTTTTTGTTTTTTTTTTTTTTTTTTTTAAATTAAATCCCGCTTTTGTATCTTTGGAGCCCAGCAATCAAGATAGGATATTGATGTAAATCCTTAAATTTATGTACGAAGCTACGTATGCTAAGTGCCCAATGAGTGACAAACACAGTAAGTGGGAAAGCAGCTAAGAAAAGATGTGATAAGATGGTTGTGAGAGCTTTGTGCAATAAATGGGGCTTAATTTAAACCATAGCATAAAATTATGTTCCCCGAAACCAAGAAAGGAGAGGGCCTTTTAGACAACAAAAGTAAGATAAACAAATACGCAGAAGGAGAA